GCTCTTGACAGATGAGCTGGGCTGGCTTTAGCAGCCACACTGTAAGATGCTACTGGCTACCACATCCCTCTGCCCAGAGTCACTACGTCCCACAGAGAGGACAGTGAGGATGACTCTCTCAGACACCTTTCACTTTGTAGTGGAATGGAAGTCTGCCAAGGCAGCTGCTCTAGCTAAACAGGCGAGTTGCCACCCACGGCCACCGCAGCTGCAGAGCAGACCAGACAGCGGAGAACTGCACCCTCTTCAAGTGCCCATCCAGACCCCATACGACCCCAATGACCCAAACAATAGAAGTCCTAAATGCTAACTCCTGGACTATTTCTGCTTTTTAAAAAACAAACAAAAAAAAACCCACACACAAAAATCAGGATACAGGTATTTCCTCTAGCTTGCTCATGAAAGGACAGGATTGGTAGCAAGGTCACATTTTCCATTTCTCTATCTTACTGAAGCCTCAGAAAGCAGCAGTGGCATTCAAATTGCCCTACTTTAACTGACTCTTAAGGAGAGGAAAAAGAAGAAGCTGCAGTTTAGGGGATAAAACTCTCCTCCCTTTAACTTCAAGTAAGCTTCTATAAAACAGGTGAGGAAGTAGTTCAAATTCACCTGTCCCGGTTTCAGTTTGCTGCCTAGTGAAGCGGGTACTAAAATATTGTCACAAGATTATGGCACAGGGGATTTTCAGACAAATGTTCACACAAAGAACTAATCACTCTGGAGTGTAGGTAAGCAGGACTTGCTCTCCAGCTACCTGTGCTGAACCATTAACAGCAGTTTTGCTGTTACAGGTTCTGCTGAAGTCGGACAGCAGACAATCGCACAGCTCGTCTCAGCTCTAGCGTTACAGCTGACTCAAAACAAGTCTGGAAGAAGATACTGGAAAAAGTCAAAGGTGATTAATTTTCATGCTTCTCTCCTCAAGAACAGAAGCAGCACTAGAGAAATAGAGAAAAAGCATGGTACCAAATCTTAGGATTTAATTTCCAAAAATAATAAGCTAGCTTAGTTATGAAATGCTCACACCTTCTCCCTACTCACCTTAAAAAGGAACCTGTCTTTTCTATGTAAATTTATTAAATATACATACATATGCATACACATACAAAATTGGTATGGCCTTACGCTCCATTTAAGGACATGTTTTTGCTCTACTGGTCACAGAGCGTGAAGAACTGCTTCCTTAAAAGCAACATTTTTACATCATGAAATAAACCTGTAACTTATACAATATGCATGACCACACAAAAGCATCAGCAAATTTTTTTTTTTTGGCTTGTAAAAAAATTTTAAAATAGAAGCTCTATTTCAGCAGTTTGAAGATAGAATGTAGTTTCTGCTGTTAAGTGTATATATTTATTGAATCATACATTCATGCTGACTCCAACTAAAAAAGAAAATAAAGACTTTTCTGAAATTTACTCCATGGACTTTTAGTGCCAGAGATGCCATCTTATAGACCACACTAACCATCGGTGCATTTGTGCTGGTATAGCGCTTTATAGAAAAACAGCAAAAGAACAGTTTTACTTTAGGCCTTTTATTTTGAAGGCTAATCTCTCCCACCTGTGACCTTCTGAGCTCCACCTCACATAGGAATTCCTACAACAGTGGCAACACCAGCCTTGTAGCATGGAGAGCGCCAAACCATTCATGCTCTTGAATTGCTTTTTATCGTTTCAGACTCTTGCAAAGCTGCTGAGTTTGCACACACAGTTAGCTTTCCTTTCCCAGCATTCAAGACGAAATCTAGGCAGCAGAAGTGGGTCTTTCACCAGTATGATCAAGAAGGGTGTATCACAGTCAGTATAAAGCATCAAAGTAGCTCTGATCTTTCAAACAGCATTGACAGGTGCCCAAATAGACAGTTCTGGTTTTGTCGTCTTTAGACTATCCTGGATTTTAAGACCAGGAGCCCAATAAGAACAGTGGTATTTCCTGCAGAGCTAAGCTATGCCTTGAAGTCTCATGCAAGCTGAAACATGCTCTGGTAATGAGGTTAGCTGTTGGGGTCCATTTTAAAAAAAATAAAAAATAAAAAAGGGCAGCAAGGGCCTGCTATTATTTGTGCAGAGCCTTAAGATTCTTAGGGAGAAAAACTAAGCTCCATGCAGATACCCAAAATATTTTTCCTTAAGTAGTCAGGTGTTTTGTCCAACTTGGAATATTATTGTTTGAGTAGTAGATCCCATTTCAGCTTGGCAAGTGGTGCTTTGTGACATCAAAAGAGAGGGCAACACCCTGTCCTTTAAATCTATTTGTAGAACACACCAAATACACCATTGCTCTAGAATCCACTATCTTTAAGGAACAGTGGAGCTTGAAAGCGTTTTATTAAGTTGTTTCATGTCTTAAAAAAAAAAAAAAAAAAAACTATAAAACTCCAAAATTCCACACAACACGCCAACAAACTTCTCACAAGAACTTAGGAGAGTAGCTTTTCAAGCCAGGCTAAGAATGGTACTGCTGAGAAATGAAATAATCTAAGAGATAAGTTGTGCATGCTTTAGCAGGAAGTCATGAGGGAAATTGTTAGGGTGCCATTTGCTGTTAGCCCCAGGCAGCAGGACGTAAAGGAAGAGAAACAACTAAAAAACATTTTAAAAGGTCTGTCCTGATTTTGTATGAGAGGCGCAGAATCAGTAGCTGCAACAACGAGCTCAAAATCTTCACACTGGAACCATCCTTTTGTCCATGGAAAGGGCACTCTCAGGTCTACAGGATAGTCCTTCCACATGCCACTGCTTACTCCACCCAGAGGACCCCTAGAACATCAGCTCTGAGCAAACTCAAAACACCCACAGTCCCAGACAGACAAGCAAGGACATCAGTTTCTTTCGGCTTCGCACAAAGGCCCCATGCAAGCCAACTGGTGCCTGAAAACGTTTCAGGAGGAGTTTTTCCCCTGGGGAAAGGGGATTGGAACTAAACCTGGTTAAGAGCCTTGCACAATTAACTAATGAAAATGCAGCAGTGGCAGCATGCCTTTTAGTTCTGTTTCAGGTAGTATCAAATACAGCTTTACATTTAAAAAAAAAAAAAAAAAAAAGAACACTTCTTCCTAATTGCCTTGCATGATTAAAATCAGCAAAAGAGGCTAGACTGCACTAGCCATATACATAATCCACCTTGATCTCAGAAACGTGGGCTATGCATTGATAGTCCTTGCACTGTACATAGGAAAGTACTGAAGACTGACTGTTCTTCTTCTAACAGCCCAGTCAATGCATAAATCAGCAGGACCTGAGGCTACTAAAAGCTTAAACAAAAAAGCCAACGTGATCACACTTTACAACAAACCTTTTCAGTATAGTTTGTTGTTACCTAGTCACAGGTCAACCAAAACCCAGATGAGGACATCGCTATAGTCACTTTTCATTTTACGATGCTGTCACCATAATTTGCTTTTTAAAAGTGTTTCTTCTTACAAGACATTACAAGAAAAAAACTTATGTAAATATTTTATTTTGCCTGTCATCTTTTCGGATAAGTAAGAACATCACTTTCTTGGGTCTTTTATTAACATACTTATATTACGGTTCATAAGAAAACAAGCATACACTTCACCTTACGGGTTTTAATTCTTCACTGATACTCCTCAGCTTTTGTCAACCCAGATAACAATAACCCAGAACTGCCTAACTCCTATTACAGAAGTGTTGTTTCAGGTTTACAGATGTTTTCACCAATTTGGTTAAGAGTTATAGAAGCTTCTACTAATAGCACTTTGGACTATCAAAGTGCAACCTGTTATTGTTGTTTTGGATTTGACATCAAAAGCACTGGAAACGCAACAGATGAGAAGGAGAAATTGCAAGCAACAAGGACAGACCTCAGTGAAAGATTTCTGTTGTACAACCTCACATGATGATCATTGTGGAATCCTGATGTAAAAATGCAGTAAGCTTATTTAAGACAATACCAGTTACCACCACAAGGGGAAGCAGTATGTATTTCCAGTCTGCTGACCACCAGACAGCACACCACAGCTATTGCTGTCACATTTAGCTCTGCTCCAATTTACCAAGATACTTAAGTTTCCTGGAACAGACCGTACACAAGTTAAACTGAGAAACATTCATAAGCAGGGAAGGGACAAATATTATAACATAAAACAACAATGAAGATGTAGTCAAAACACAACAAAAACTCAAAGCTCTACTGACATATTTAGTAAAACTAGACTCAACCACTAACCTTAGGCAAGTAAACGGCATATTGTTCTGGCACAGGTAATATCTGCCCTTTGGGGCAGGGAAACTGCTCTAGCTTTAGAACAAGCAAAGGTCAAGAGATATATACTGTATCTGCACAGAGATTATATGTTAAAAAATATGAAAACACTGAGCCCTGCCAGATTAAAAAAAACTCAGTAAGCTGCGCTCAGCTATTACCAGGAGCTCAGGTCTGGTGCGGACTCAAGACTGACATTTTCATCCCGATGTTTTGAACGTCACACGTTACAGGAGGGGAAAAAAAAAAAAAAAAAAAAAGAATGCTGTTTTGTGCAGTACAATCTTACAAGATCTCTTCAACTGAAGTTAGAGTTTTGTATTTTCAGTGTCATCTTCCTTCAGAGGTGGAGAGTGTTCAATAACTTATTCAGTTCCAGGACAGATGTGCAGCAGGTGCACCTCCAACAAAAATGCCATCTATTTCAGGTCTGGCAGAAGCAGGGGATTAAATTAATGCCCAAACTGCAGAAGTAACTCCTTATCACTTACAGCAGAAAGAAGTGTAAAGAATGCAACGAAAGTACTTCTATTTCAGTTCTACTTTTGTAACATTCATAATGGAACCTGTTCAGCCTCACACCAAAGCTATGAAATTCTGCACCCAAAAAGTACTTGTTTTCAGTCAAAATGGTTACTTAAATGCAATCAAACTGATGGACAGAAAGAAGGTATTAAAATCATCAGCTGTACCACCTCCACCTACCAAAGCTGGTGACAGATGGGGGAACCTCCTCCCCCTTAGAAGAACTCCAACGTACTCTTGACTTGATAAAGCAAATCTAGACCTTTTTTATTTTTATTTTTTTAACAATTTGCCAAGACTGGAATGAGAGATAAATAGAAGGCACAACAATTTTGCTTTTTTTTATACAAATACAAACTAAACATGAAAAAACTCCCTATTTCAATAAAAAATTTCACAAGTTCAGGAAAAGTGTTTTAAGAGTCAAGTTCTAGACATTTAAAACCTATCCCACAATCCAAAATTTCAAAGTGGTAAAACAGTAGTTAGAATTCCTTTCCGTGATCATGTATCAAAAGAAAAAAGATTCTAAGGATACCCATTATTCCACTTTTACAGCGCCACAAAGAGAAAGATGAATGTCAATTTTTGAAGTGGCAATATCTCCGGACCAGAGGATGTTCGTATGACCCTCAAGGGATAAATTGATAGTTTTTTTTTCCTGCCCTTGAAATACTTGCCAAGTACTACGTTTTCCTACAGCCTCTTGAACACATGCATGTGAAATATTATTCCACTGACTGAAATGCACCCAAATTCAGTAGAGAGGGGGGAGAGAGAGAGAAAAAAAAAAAAGGAACAAAAAAAAAACCACATTCCTTTAAGACCGACCACTGGTACCAAAAAAAATCCAGTCCGTAGGTTTGAGGCGAGCAAGGAAATTCAGTTCTTTTTAAAATCCACTTTTCCTAAAACGTTGTTCCACAAAGCTGGAATCTGGGACAAGGACTAGGGCAGGGAGGGGGGGGAAAAAAAAAAAATCACAAAACCATAACACAAACAAAAAGGGGCCAAAATAGTATCAAACGTAGCAGTCTATAACAGGCTAGGGCCACATTCCAAGATACCCAAGGCTGAAATTCACAAATCTGCAGGAAAAAGGGTTTGCGCCACCATGTCAACATCCATGATGCATTCACTGGCGTTGCCCGATCCCCCTTCCAGCTCCAAATCCTGGTTTCTGGGACATTCCTCCACGTGGAGGCCCTCGAATCCCACCTCCCAGCCCCCCACGAGTGCCTCCAGGTCCACGTGGTCTGTTATCTCTGCGGTCACCCTCTCTGGCAGCTCGTGTTTTCTTCTCCTCCACATTCAGTCGCACCTCTCCCCTGAACATGATGGGCTGCAAAAGAAAGCAGAACAGGTATTTTCATTAATGATTCATCTGTAACTCTCCAATGCCAAGCTGACTTCTGCAGCCCTGTTTCATATCTATCTCTCCAACTCAAATTAAAACATTTCATGAATGGCTATTAGAGACACAATGGCTATGGTCAAACTATGCACCCAGTCTTATGCTTTCCTAGAGGGGAAAAAAAAAAGTCTGAGACTTCTGAAAAGTGATCTCAGGCTTAACACTAAACATTTTGACACTTATTCTAAAAGGAATTAACCTATTAACAGTACACTACTGTTATCAGTACGTGGCAAATCACAGTTCACCACCACGCAGAGTCTCAGTCGGTTTTTCTTTTGGCATGAAAAAGATCAGATCCCATATACTCATATCCTCAGTAAACAGGCCAGTGAAGTCTTTCACTTATGTAAGGCTCAACATTTAGAATTGCAGTGATGGGTGGTGACTTGATTAGGAAACCTCACTGAAGTGGGAACAGAGAAGAGCAGAACTGCAACATCCACAGCGTCAACCTCACTACAAATAAAGAGCTGAAGTCTGCAAAGATCTAGGAATTCTAAGAGTAAAGAGTCACTCATCTCAAGTAAATTATTTCAGATACTTCTGTAACAAAATAAAACATAAAAAGCGTGATCTCATCGCTGCCACAGGAAGAACGTTTCCTCATCAAATGGAAAGGCTAGCCATTCACTCCTGCTGAACTGATTATGGAAGCAGCACAGGTCCAAAGATGAAGCACACTGTCCTTCTCTACCCATCAGCTATGCTGGACAAAAAGGTCCAAGCATCTCATTATAGCCTCGTTACTGATTCCATTATGAACTCCCATGTTCCATACCAGCAAGCAGGTTTAATTTCTTCGGCTAACAGTCTACCAAAGCCTTTAAAATTCATTTATAGCACAGCTTACCCTGACAGAAGTCCTACCGATTAAGGATATATGTTTGCACAAAACACTGGGCTCATCTGCAAAGCAATCCTAGCCACTCTTTAATGCAAGACCAGAAATGCAGTGGCAATACTGCAGTACAGTAAGGACATAAGGAAGAAAGGAGGTCCTCATCTGGTGAAAAGCTAGGTTGTAAGGGAGCACACAGCACAGCTGTTATGCTGCATCTTGATTCATTGCCTACCACCACCCCAAACGGCAATGGAGCAAAAGTTTTGCATTAGCAATCATGGCTGACAAGCTAAGCAGGTACCTCCTGCCCTTGCTAGCAGAATTTTTTTTTCAATCAAAACACTAGCATAGTTCCTCTCTTTCAGCTTCTTCCACTTTCCCAAAAAAATATTTGTTCATAAGCTCAAACTCCCCATCTTGTCTCCCTGGAAGCTGCTTTCTGCACAGCTCAGCAGTTTCCCATTGGAAAAAGGCTCAAAGAATACTGAAATTGGTCTATAATGACTAAGTTCACGTTTGCTTATGTTGCTGTAAGTAACTCTAACAGGAAAAGACCATCTGCCTGTAGAAATGCTCTACAAGCCTCGGGATAGAAGGAAAAGAAACAGCCCTACTTTAAGATGCATACGGAAATAGAAGGGGATTGGCTGGAATATCTTTTCTTGTTAGAGGAATACACAAAAACATTACCTATTAGTAACAAACCAACAAACCCACTGACTAAAAGTTTATTTACCCTGCTGCTAAGGATCTTCTGAACTGGTTCAGGATCATCAAAAACCACAAACCCAAAATTGGGAAGTTTCCCACCACTGTTGATGCGGAGTTCAACAACATTGCCATAACCTGCAAGAGAAAAGCCAAGTTCTTGGGTCATACATTAGAATGTTCTGCTGACCACGCTTATGGCTGCAACCCCCACACCCCGTGAGAAGTACAGCAAAGCAAGCAACTTACTTTGGAAAAAGTCTTTCAGTTCACTTTTATCCACATCATGGGGAAGGTTCCCAACAAACAGCTGATGACTGTCTGGGTACCTCACAATCCGTCTAGTTTCCACATCACCTTGTTCACCATCACGAACTTGAATAAAATTTTAAAAAGTAGAATTTGTTTAAGAAAAGTCAAGTCTCCATAATAATCAAAAAAGTCACAGTCAGAATTAGCACATTTCAAAAGATCCAGATTTCAAACTATTTTTATACACACATATATGCATATACACACACATATATATATAAAATATATAGGGGGAGAGAGCACAAGACTAGGTATTTCACAGAACACTAGTGAAATTCAGCTCTAAAACGTGGCAGACATCCAGGCCAAGATCAACTAGAATATCTTTATCTACAAAGGTAGCAATTTTTCCAATTACTAGCACAGTTAGTGACATTTCCAAACCTTAATCAGCTATCACATTGTTTCCTGAAACCACCGAAGAAGCACAAAATAGTTTATTCTTTTTAGCTTTTCTTACTTGGTCTAGGACCCCTCTGTGGTGGGATGCTTGTTCGCTGCTCTCTCACTCTCTGATCCCTCTGAGGTCTCTGTGGTGGAGTCTGAGATTCAGGCTTTGCCTCAGGGCGGGGCTGCATAAATTCACAAAGAGTTAGCAGTCAAGGATCAGATGCAGTAGTATGGTTCAGCTTTTCAGAGCTTACTAACAAGCTATTAATAACATAACTTAAAAATACAGGGGAAAAGTCTAAATTCACAGTTTTTTCTCCACCAGCGGCTATAAAATGCACATTACCTTACGTACGCCTGCACTGCTTATGGCATATGCTTGTGGCTTGCATGCGTAAAGCAAACAGGTCACTCCACTGCACAAAGCTGAAATTTCCAAGTCGCCTTATTCACAATTATGTACAATAAAGTGCTTCTGCCCAAAGTACTGTGGCCAATCAAGCAGGTAAGTTTTATTATAACAAACTAACAGGACAAAGCTACACTCATGAACAGGCAGAGGGGAAAAGTTCCAGAAGCTGCCTTTCCTTTCAAAAAAAAATAAAATAAAATAAAAAAAGCATTCATTTTAGCTAGCAGATACAGTGTGCACTCACACGAACATTCCTCTTTTCCTCCATGAGGAGTAAAATTCCTTCTCAACCAGAAAGCCAAGGAATAACATTTTTATAAAGTCTACAAGGACATGTTGAATTTGAAAGCCTGTGGAGCCTCTCTGAAAATTCAGATCATAAGCAAGTACACTGTACTATATTCCCCCCACCTCAGCTTATTTTCAGCTGGTTTACGAGTAAATGGTGCAGGATTCCTACCTGTGAGACCGGTACTTTCACAACATGAGGTGGTATTCCTGATACTGGAACAGCTCCACTGGGAGGAAGGTTCTTACTGGTTACTGATGCCCATGAAAAAGTCTAAAGAAATAAAGATTGTACCTCATAACTTGAGATGATTTAATCCTTCTGAAATACATTCCTGATGGTATAGCTAATGGACACAGGATAACAACAACAAAGTTTTAAGCTCTTTTTGAGAGTCTGGATCCAGCCACTAGGAGTCTCCCCACAACTTTCTTAGAATCATTCTGATTCAAAAGAGTTAATGTAGTAATAATGCAGTCACTTCCATCCAATTTCCATAGTCTCTGTAGAGTTGAAATGCCACAGCAGTAGCCTAAAACCAAGCATCAGATCAAGGCTAACCAAAGCACTGCTTTTCTGACGCCCCGTTTGTCTTTCACTTTCCTCAACACTGAAGAGCGAGAAGTATTCCCCGCTAGGAATAAAGTCACATTTAATCCATTTTCTTCATTCAGCATGTTGATTGTGGAAGTTTCTGAAGCTCTCTTTACAAATAAATGCCTGACTCTTTTTTGTTTTTTTAATAAGAATTTAGGCCTAATTGCTGCCACAATGCCCACACTACCAAATATACGCAGCCTTGCTTTTAGGTCATGATATTTTGATCAACCAGTTACTAGATAGAATTTCAACTACTTATTGGAGAGCAGCCAATGGGAAAGAGCCAACTGGTCATGAAAAGAGTAATGTGGGCAGAGAAAAAAAAAGTTAAAGCATGTACACACTTCTGATTCCAGATATTTCTTCTCCTCTTGCCAGAGGGAAGCAAACAAACAAAAAGAAAACAAAACACCCACCACCACACTCAAACAACAGAAGAGTCAAACATACTGATGAAACCATCACACCATAGAAAAGAGCTACTCATTTTCGTTACCCTGGAGTCCTCTTGCACTGCAGGAGCTGGATCACCAGGAACTGGAGAAGGACTCTTCTCCACAGCCTCTTCTGGAACTGATTCCTCCAATGCTGGCTCAGATTTTTCTTCCTGCACCTCTGGTTCAGGTTCCGGTTCAGGCTCTGGCTCTGGCTCAGGCTCTGCATCTGCAGCAGGCTCTTCCACGTGTTCTTCCAAGTCGTTGCTATTAGAGAACACCACAGAAAGCAAGTAAAAAGATGGTATTGTATTTCATTCCAGTAGCAGGTGATAAGGAATGCTGCTTTTCAAATTTAGAAGTCAACTACATCGTATTCAAGAGGGAGAAATGGGTAATCTGTCTAAAGAAGCCTAGGCGGCACAGGGACGCAAGTTCCACATTATTACACTACAGAATGGTAGAAGTATTACATCAACTGAAAAAAATCTGCATTCAGCTTAACAGCCACTTAGGTTTCAGCTATCCTGCTGACAGAAATCCCGGATTGTCAAAGAAAAAAAAAAATCATGAGTAACAATAAGTTCATCTGGCCACAGACCTGTCCTACAAACAAACTGTATTAGACAACATCTACTTCACCTAGCAGGATATTGTTACCTGACAGTCTGCTCATAATAAGCACCACTATCATCAGGAACAGCCTCAGGTGTCTGCTGCCTTTCCTCAGGTTCCTCCCCCTCTTCTTCCGACTCTAAACGAAGACAGAAAAGGAAAAAAATACACCATACGCATCTTTAGTACTCAGTTCCAACCTAAGGCATCTTCCACAACACACAGATGAAGTCTCTACTAAAAAGCACACATAGGAAGCACTATTAATGCATGACACACACTAGAAGTTTCCTTATATTTCTACTATCACTTCAGTTACCCAGTTTTGACCAAAGCCAAATGGCATTTTTCAAATTACTTAAAAAGCCGATTTGTAGCCTACACTGTAGAGTGCTACTAACTCAAAAAAAGGTCTTACAGTTTTAACACCATTCTTAGAAGAAGGCTATGACGTTCAGAGGATTGCCATCTTTCTGACACAATTCTTTGCTGAAGTGCAGACAGCATAGTGAAAGAACGGTAAAACTAGAGACAAGGAAAGATCCAAGAGATCACCAAGCTTAGCGCTGATCCACCTTCTCAAAACAAAGGGACTTCCTCTGGTCTGGGAATGGAGCACTGAAATAGACTCAGGAACAAACGCTGGTAGAACTATCCAAAAATTCTTGGTACTTACCCTCTGGGGGCTCCGTGTCAGAGTCACCAAAAACTTCATCTTGGTAGCGGAAGATGTCATTATGGACATAAAACTTGTTTGCAACAGAACCCTTGAAACAAAACAAAGCAAGAAACTGATTCAGTTACGGCAGTTGCAAACCCTTTCCCCGTCCCCAATATTATAGTTCACTATCAGTGACAAAGCCTGGCCCTTGGTCCGCCTCCCATGACACTTTGACAGTAACAAAGGAATACAAACAAGACAGTGATTTCTACAAAGAATCCCCAAGCAGAAAGAAAAAGACGGCCAAATCAAGTGAGTTTAACTGCCTGTGCAGCCTGCTGCCAAACACAGGAAGTATTTCTTACTCCACAAGAGTTAGGGAAGAATGCTATAATGTATCACATCTCAGATGATATCCCTTGACATCAGGGTAATTAATATTATTTAGAGCAACTCCAGCCACTGATCAGCTCAAGTTTAACTCTGACTGGCAGCAAAGCAAAGCTGAGAAAGCAGAAAAGCCTGCTTGGAGCCATTTATGCCTCTGTTCCATGCACTTGACCAAAAAGTGCAGGCAAACCTCAAGGTCTGATTAAGGAGAAAAATCCACAAAGCGCTCAATGATTATTTAAACAATAACACACGTTCGTAGGTATGACAAAAAGCAAAACACTGTTTTGTTAAAATAAAAGGATACAAGACCTCTGCCAAGTTGAAAGCACTGTTACAGCATGCTACTACTCCACCATAACAGCAACAGCGCATTTGAGATGGAAAGACTGGGATATAACCTTTTTTGCCTTCTCTGCAGTCTTAAATCTGTACAATGATCACTATGAGAAAGAGATCTCAACAGAGCTCCTGGAGCAGATATCCTGCTCAGTCCAGCAGAGAAAGGAGCAATAAGTTCCTTCCTTATGACTGACAGGATCAATAAGACCTGGCAAGTCCTAGAAAGACTGACAGCTACAACTAAGCAAAAAGATTAGTCTTCTGTAGGCTATCACTATCTTGGTTACGAACAGCTTGGTACAAAGACGCAACTGGAAGCAGAATAATTAGCGTGGAGCTACTTTATAACACTGTTTGCTGAGGTCGCAATTCATTATTTTAATATTGAAGTAATAAGGAAACAAGAACTGCTTGAACAAGAGGTCCTTCCCACACCTTAAAAGATAAACCCCAACTTGCCTCTTTCAAGGTAAGCGCTATTCAAGAAAAAAATAAGTAAAGACAGCATTATATTAGCAAGTGAAGGACACGCTACAGTCGTGCTCAAAACTGGAAAGGTACACAACAAAAAGACAGATCATCTGAAAGAAATTCATATAGCGCTTTTAATTCTGGTAGTTCCTAACAACAAAAGAGTAGGAGCCAGATCTTCTGGGGTCCAAGGTATCCAAAGGAGAAACAATCAAACTGAAAAATAAAATGATCTTGCAACCTATCACTATCACTTACAATTATGTGAACTATACGTTGAAAGCCATGTCAAACCCCAAATCAAAGCTTCATGGAATCAGAAAGTCTGGATTCCACATCTTAAAATGGCAGAAAGCATTTTTCTCCTTCACTAGCCCTTTCCCATGCCAGTTGCTAGGAGGGCAAATCAAAGATAAAGACAACTTTAGAACACACAAGCATTACAGATACTTAATAGCCAGAAGCCAGAACATTCACAACTGTAATGATGATACCCATGGTTAATATATCGGCATACGGAAATAACGCAGTTTCCTGAAGAACCTGCAGGGGTATTATCACTGAACTTTGTGGTGAACCATCTTCGGGGTCCAACCCTTCAGATTCCAACACTGAACCAAACAGGCCCCGTATTAATCCTGACATGAAAGTAGGCTTATAGTAATAGTAACACTACATAGCATACCTCCGGTGCAAGCACAAATGTTTGCATGAATCTGCGCACTGGCTGCATGTTATTGGAGAGCTCTCCCATCACCTGGACTACAACACCATCATTGAGCGTAGCATGAGCATCCACATGACGGATCTTTGTGTGGCAATCCTTGAAGTTTAGCGACAGCACTTTCTTGTGAATATCCTAGGAGAAAAAAAAAAAAGAATACAGGTTACACTGCAAAAGCCATTTCTGCTAAATTAGTGACCTTCAAAGAAAGGAGGAACATAAAACACTCCAGTTTTGATTGTATTCCAAAACCCTAGAGAAAAAAAGAGCATGCTGCCAAGCTAAGTTTGCTTCACAAGCATTTTCACATTATGAACTTTTAGAAAGGAGACATATCCTGCCTAACTCTTGCTGTTTACAATTAGGCAGTTGTTTCTCCTGATTTTCCTACAGAAGGCATTTATGCAAAGGCAATGAATCACATGCGGGTATGCATCGTTTAACCACAAGGGAGAAAGGAAAAAAACAAACCACCACTCACCAAACAAGCAAAAAAACAAGGACAAAAAGTTTTTCAAGTACTTACAGATTGCCCGTAGACAGCATCAGCTGGCTTTCCATTGGAATCCAAGCCACCATGGACATAGGAAGAGTTCTTTCCATAAAACCTGTTGAAAAGAAATATTTTAACAACACTACACTTTGCTGAGTAAGAATACAGAGCCTCTAAGAGTGCATTATGAATATTATACTTCCATCCCATTTTCTGAATTATTGCAATACGTCCTTACAATTTCATAACCCTTTTTTACATTTAAGAAAAAAACAGCCAGGAGTAAAGTCTCATATGGGTTCTGGAATGATTCAACCCCATTCTCTCTATATAAAAGGTCTAAATCAACATAGTACCCTGAACAGGCAGGACACTGAAGGCTTCTCTCAAGCTCTGGTTTAAAGTTTGAGAAACAGGCAGGTTTTGCTCATCTAAAGTAATGAAAGCACTACAGGCAAATCTTTTTTAAAAACAGAGGGATTAGAAACTTAACATGCCATAAGCATCATTGTATTCCATTCTGACAGCAGATACAAGGCTAGAATTGAAACCCATGGCACGCCTAAATTTTCCTGTGACCCAGACAGAGGAGGTTAGCTGTTCAAAGCGGAGAATAACTCTGAAAAGTCTCTATACGTTCCTGAAATTGGAAGGAGGGTTTCAGGAATCGCTTATCTAGCGACTCAAAGCAGAGCAAAATAAAGCGTGTCTTCAAAAACAAGGCTAAGTCCAGCAATGCAGGATTAACAATCAAGTTGAACAGGAATAGTTTAATTGGATAACATTGTAGTCTGTAGCGTAATTATAACTTCAGTAATTCTCCTTTAAAAAATAGCTACTGATATGACTACTGACGCATAGCTATACATAAGAACACAGCTGTCAACATTTTCCCCCTAGTCAGAAGGCATTCTATCAAGACAAACCACAAAACTGTGTGGTTAAATAGAAGATTTATCCAGTATCCAGCTTTCATTTATGTTGACTATATCTAGAAGCGTGAAGTGACACTTCTGGCTTACAATTTTTTTTTTTTTTAAAGCTTATAATACCTGTCTAACAGCATTTCAATAGCAACCAGAGCAAATTTTTAATAAGATAAAAACCAGTATTTTCCAATGTTCCCAACGTTTTTCTAGTTATTATCCATGTTTTAATCTAGCTGTTCAAAACTGGGAGCAAATTACACCCTGAATCTGCCTTGGATAAATGAGATTTTTAAGTGGCCAAACCTTACATCCAACTAGCCAAGAAGAGGATATGATTTTATCCACTGCTTGCAACATCCCAGTTAACAAGTTCATACAGAAAAACAGATCACGAGGTGAAGCAGAGCTTTACCTGTGCAAGTAGTCAGGTGCTTGATTCAGCAGAGTATAGTACTGCCTCACGAATTCCCGCCCGACCAGCAGGGGACTTGGCTTCTCCATCACCATTTCTTTGGTCAACTGAAAACTAAGGAAAATAAAAAGCTCCATAAAACACTTGTATTTCATGTTGCTGTACACATACTGATAACATAAGCCACATAATGATAGCATAAAGCACATAAAACCTATTAGTAGTTTCACCACAGTAAGCAGTTCAACCGATATGCTTTCAGAGTCATCAACTGTTGGCGGCAAGGAAGAGGACTGCTGGGTTGAGAACAAGCAGTGAGAGAAGCTGCATAGGTGAGGGAATTGAATTCAACACGCAAGCATTTAATTATCCTACGTACCCTCAGTAAAAAGCATGTGGCAAGCAGGCAAGCACGGTTCTTCAAGAGGATTTGCTAAGTGGCTAAGTCATGTACAGTCGATCCAAGTTCTACTTACCTCACTTGACTTCACAATCAGAATTAGAAGTCAGATGTTCTAAAGTAAAGCCTGCGCTACTGTATTAAGGGCATTTTAAAAAGGTCAAAGTCAGTCCCATCTATTTTTGTCAGAAGTGCAGCAGTCCTACAGTGCTTATCTCTCAAATTTTAATATAATCCAATATTCCTTTTAAATAACTACGCTAGGAATCATAAAGGAATACTGCTCTTCCCTTGCTTCCCCAAACTCAGCAAGTCACATATCGCTTAAATCTAACAGATCAGTCGAATTAACACTGCCATACCTGGGGCCAGGGACAAATCAGTCTATTTACCATGTGCCCCATTTCAACAGATCAGTAAATTACAAAAAAAGCCTTTACAGCTAGATTAGAGAATATGTATATTTTCAGTGCAGCTCATTCAAAAACAAAGCACATTCATGTGTTTCCTTCCTTTCAAGTGCTCATAAAAAGAGGCTCAGATTAGTAGGGGAAAAATATCAATACCAGATCATATTCTTGTTACCTATTACAGAAACAAAAGCAGATTTTTCTGGGTTCATATTCCATTGCCAATTATATTGACAGGTAACAGAATGGGGAGCTTAGCTGGCAGCTTTGCTGCTTTTGTGTTACAGACTACACATTAGTCAATTTTTCTGCTCTGCAGTGCTGACAATAAAGGAAAGCTAGCAAAGGTATCTACAGTAAGTCAAGCAGATGTTATCTGAAATGGAGTCAAAAGACTAGGTGTAACACTGGAAAGGACTTCCTTTGTATTACTGACATCCTAACCCCCTTCTCCCGCACAACGCTTTCCCAAATCCATGGTATGCAAATTCAATATGCACAAACTTTAGATATGTCCCACAAGTCAAAACCTACACGCTCCTCACTTGAGTCCTCTAAAAAAGCAACTCAGGAGTCATCATTGACCTGTTTTTATTTAAGACTGTGCAACTAGAAACAGCTCCAAGAAGTGGCAACATCAGTGAAGGAAAAAAAAAAAAAAAAAGTCTAACTGAGTAGTCCCCTAGTGCAGGCTAATCCAAATGGAGATTGCAAAGTGCAAGCCTCGACAATTATACTGGGACAAACTTTCTCTTGTCACTGCACAGAATAGCATTTTACATCCTGAGTAAAGAGACTTGCCCACAACCAACTTATGGACAAAGAGAAGGACCAACAATCAGGTAAGGAAGTGGTGGATGGGGCTGGCCACCAAAGAGTCTGAAGTGATGTAAACAGAAGGGACCCCCGAATCAACAAAAGAGGGCAGAAATGGAATTGCCTCAATTGTATGAATGTAAATAAGGAAGTACATATGGGACCACATCACGGGAAAAGCTCTCATTCCCTTTCTGGGAAGTCAGCACACCAAGGTCCCTCCCTGAAGCATCTGTACACCAACACACACAGCACAGGAAACAAAGAGAGTGAATTAGAAATCTGTGTACATTTGCAGGGCTATAATCTCATTGTGATCAGGGAGACGTGGTAGGATAACTCACAAGACTGGAGTGCCACATTGGATGGATACAGGCTCCTTAACGGTGGACAGCCTGGGAAGGTGAGGAAGGGGAGTCGCCCATTATGTGAGAGAGTATATGGAAACGCATGAAGCTCTGCCTGGGACAGGCGAAGGGCCAGCTGAGTGCTTATGGGTGAGGGTTAGTGAGCAGACCAACATGGGTGAGACTGTGGTAGGCGTCTGCTGATCAGACTGTCTGATCAGGAGGAAGAAATAGATGAAGCCTCCTTCAGACAACTGGCAGAGGCTTCACATTCACAGGCCCTGGTCCTCATGGGGGCACTTCCACCACCCTAGTATCTGGCTGGAGGCACAATACAGCAGGGTACAAGCAATCCAAGTTCCTGGAGTGCTTTGATGACAATTTCCTAACACAAAGGATCGAGGAGTCAATGAGGAAAGGTTCTGCCCTGGACCCTCACGCTTACAAAGAGTAAGAACTAGTCAGAGATGTAGAAGTTGGTGACAGCCTTGGCTACAGCAACCATAAGACGGTAGCGTTCAGGATCCCACAAGGAGGCAGTACAGCACTGACAAGCGTGGCAAGACAAAAAGCAGAATCAGCCCTGGACTTCAGGAGAGTCTGCTCAGGGACCTACTTAGAAGAATCCCATGGGATAGGTCCCTGGAGGAAAGAGAGGTCCAGTAGAGCTGGTTGATATTCAGGGATCACCTCCTCCAAGCTCAAGGACTGTTCATACCAACAAGGGGGAAATGAAGCTAAGGCAGCAGGAAGCCTGCATGGATGTACAAGGAGCTCCTGACTAACTTTAAATATCGAAAGGAATTACATAAGATGAGGAAGAAGGGATAGGTGACGCAGTAGGAATAATGGAGACACTGTCCAAGCGTGCACAGATGGCATTAGGAGAGCTAATGCCCAGCTGGAGCTGAAATTGGAAAGGAACATGCAGGGCAAAAAGAAAGGCTTCTACAAGTAAGCAAGCAGTAAAGGAAAGACCAAGGAAAACATGGGCCCGCTACTAAATGGGCCAGGAGCCCTGGAGGGAAAAAAATACAAAAGGCAGAAGTACTAAATGTCTTCTTTCCCTCAGTCTTTACTGATAGGGCTTGCCCTCAGGAATACCAGGCCCCTAAGACCAAAGGGTAAGTCTGGAGCAATGAAGACTTATCCTTGGTGGAGGAGGATCAGGGTAGGGCACACTTAAAACAAACTGGACATACACAAGTCCATAGGCCCTGATGGAACGTACCCATGAGTGCTCCGGGATCTAGCCAATGTCACTGCTAGGCCACCCTCAACTATCTCTGAAAGGTCATGGTGATTGGGGGAGGGTCCTGACAACCGGAAAAATGGAAAAAGCCAAATACCACTCCTGCCTTCAGGAAGGGAAAGGAGGAGGATCTGGAGAACTACAGGTCAGCCTCACCTCAATCCCTGGAAAGGTCATGGAGCAAACAGTCCTGGATATCATTTCCAGACACATGAAGGACAGGAAGGTCATCAGGAGTAGTCAGCATGGATTTCCAAAGGGGAAACTGTGCCTAATCAACCTCCCAGCCATCTATGATAAGAGGACTGGCTTGGGGGATGAGGGGAGCGCAGTGGATGTTGTCTACCTTGACTTTAGTAAGGTTTTGACACTGTCTCTCATAACATCCTCATAGACAAGCTGAGAAAGTACAGGTTAGACAGAACACAGAAAGGTGGACTGAGAACTGTCATGCTTAGGGGTTTGTGATCAGGGGCTCAAAGTCCAGCTGGAGGCCAGTCACTAGTGGTGTCCCCCAAGGGTTGATCTTGGGGCCCATGCTGTTTAACACCTCATTAATGACCTGGATGATGGGACTGAAAGCACCCTCAGCAAGTTCATTGGTGACACAAAACTGGGAGGACTGGCTCATACCTCAGAGTACTGTGCTACCATTCAGAGGGAGCTGGACAGGCTGGAGAGGTGAGTAGAGAGGAATCTCATGAAGTTCAATAAGGGAAGTGCAGAGTCCTGCACCTAGGGAGGAATAACCCCAAGCACCAGTACAGGCTGGGGGCTGACCTGCCAAAAAGCAGCTCTGCAGAGAAGGACCTGGGAGCCTTGGTGGACAAGGTGAACATGGGCCAGCAGTGTGCCCTTGTGGCAAAGGCGGCCAGTGGGATCCTGGGCTGCGTTAGGCAGAGTGTTGCCAGCAGGCCAAGAGAAGTGATCATTCCCTTCCACTCAGCTCTGGTGAGGCCACATCTGGGGTGCTGTGTCCAGGTCTGGGCTCCCCAGTATAAGAATGACATGGGGCTACTGGAGCAAGTCCAGCAAAGGGCCACAAAGATGAATTCAAGGACTGGAGCATCTCATATGAGGAGAGGCTGAGAGATCTGGGACTGTTCGGCCTGGAGAAGAAAAGACTCGGGGGGAATCTTATCAATGTGTTTAAATATCTGAGGGGTAGGCGTAAAGAAAACAGTCAGACTCTTTTTAGTAGTGCCCAGTGACAAGACAAGAGGCAATGGGCATAAACTGAAACACAGGAAACGCCATCTGAACATAAAAAAACAATTCTTTACTGTGAAGGTGGTTGAACATTGGAAGAAGTTGCCCAGAGAGGCTGCAGAACATCCATCCTTGGAGATACTCACTGGACATGGTCCTGGGCAACCTGTTCTAGCTCACCCTGCTTGAGGCGGGAGGCTGGGCCAGATAATCTCCAGAGGTCTCTGCCAACCCCAACTATTCTATGACACCAAGGGGCAGGGGAGAATAAAAAAAAAAAAAAAAAAAAAAAAAGACTCTCCCTCTCTCACGTACGTGTTCTAAGTTCTGCTCTAGCTCACTCGAGGATCCTGTTTTATGCTTTCATTACATTTGCTCAAATTTCAGAGAAGTCCCATAAAGCTGGGAATGCCTGACACACTATCTTCAGAGCAAAGATGACATACCAGTTTAGTATATTACACTGATGGTTTCAAACGCACACTTCATGTAGGCCTGCAAAGGAAGTTATAACCACGCTACAGGACGTACCAGGAATGCAAAATAGAAGTTTCAAACCTCAAAAAGAAGAACATTAAAAAAAAGACATGGAAGCTAGTATTTTGCATACACAAAATACTAAGTCCAAATCAACCTGCCAAATTCCTTCCATCTCAGACAACTGTGGTCTAGTGCTCCGC